GACGGTTCGTACATCGGCTAAATTTTCTTGTAACACCAGAATTATGAATTCCGTCAACGTGTAGAAATTTGTGGCGTATAAGTAATGCGCCGTCGTCTCATAAATCATAGGCGTATCGATGTAAACCGAAAATCCTGGCGGTATCGGTCTATCCATTTCGAATTACGTATAAGCGCGCAGTTTATCTCTGCTGCGCCGTTTCCTATTTTGCCGGCGCAAGTAATACGGGCATAATATCTCACACGTGTAATATATTCTATCTGGCCACAATATATTTCCCGGCGAAATATCAGACTTTGCGATCCTGCCAGGTGGAAGCTGAGACTGCTCAATGGCGGAAGCAAATGAGAGGTGAGACCGTCGCGATGTATGTATGTATCATATTGACACGTATAAATTTTTAAATCGCGCCGCGAGCGAATTCTTCGAGGAACGCGCGTCGCTTTATGATCTCGCATTAAGCGCGAAAATAAATTCGTGCCCGCGCGAGCACAAGTGCGCCCGATGCGTATTTTATTTAATTTTGGGATCGAAGCGCACATTTGCACGGATCGCTAAAATATGTACGTAACAAATGCTCGCCCGATGCTGTAAAACGTTATCGTTCGTGGTAGGCATTAACACGAAAGTTAAATCGAGCGAAACATGTGCGACATTGCCATTATTACTGTTATTTCTAGCTTTGTGCAAACATACACGACAGCATGTTGGATAACGTAATCATTTTTGCAAACTCAGTAAAATCGTAAAATCCATACCGCGCAACATGTAACAATATAAAGAGCAAAATATCCCTCTTACCGCGTTATCTTGTTTCGGATTACAATAATATATTTTTAATTCCATATATTTTTAAATAAATAAATTATAAAATAATTTTTTGACAGAAACTTTTTCTTGCATTAACAGCTTTATATTTTTCATACAAGCAGTTATATTTATATATTTATATTTCTGTTGTTTATGTTTCAAGTACGATTGATGTTTTGAAAGTTAGTCAACATTGGTAGACAATAGATAGATTCCAGATAGATTACAAAGATAGATTACAGATAGCTTACAAAGTAACTTTTATCTATCTTATTTAATTAGTTCTTTTTTTAGAGTCAGTCAGTCTAATTGGCATAATTTGAATCTGAACGTGCACGCGCATATAGACATTTTTTTTAAGTATCTATTATAAAAACGAAACTTTTGTGTGTATGAAACTTTTTTTCCGACGGTATAAAAGTGCTGAAAGCAGAACTACGATCATAACACGTTGCTCGAAAGTTATTTTGCGGTCAGAATAAAAACTTGAACGACAGCAAACACACGAGACAGATATTACTGCGACGTTTTCCTTTAAAGTCCTCCAGTCGAATTAATGATAGAAGTTTGCCGGAAGTAATAACAGTACCGCGGGCACTTTATTTAGTCTTGATATCGAGCATCGATTGGAGCTTCTGTGGACTCGCTGCCGTCGTAAGAAATAAGAATAATGCTGTACATTAAATCTGGACATCCGTGCTTTTATTGAGTTTCCGAAACGTTTCAAGGCGCACGCGCGAGTAAACTGATAACTGAAACGATAAACTGAAATCGTATCGAGAGTTTTTTTTTGCATGCGCTGTGTGTGTGTGTGTGACAGATTCGCGACTGGCATTAAGCGAGTATAACGTCGTTGACGACAAATCAACGGTATGATATTAATAATATAATGTTAGCTTCTTGAAGAAAAAAGGTTTGCACTGTATATTGCATATAAGAACACATTTAATTTCAATTAATTAATCATCTATGTTGGTCGGTAATCTCATATTCGCTCGTAATTACGAACGCTGTACAAGCGCTTTGCCGAAGAGTAATATAATACCATAAATGTTACGCGAAAGTAGATAATTAATACGTCGATAAAGCGCATACTCCGGCCAAACGTTTAACGTTAAACTACATTCGAGTCACTACCACCGCCTCGTTTCGATGCAACGTCGTGATACAAGCACGAATTGACAATACGTGTATTTAGGAGAAAATGGACACGTCGAGAGGAAACGCTGTTAGGAATTTCATCACGCGCGGGAAACACTTAAATTCCATAATTCGATTCGACGCGATTCGAGCGTACGCGCGTCAGCGTAGGACAGCTTGTGTGTGAGTCTGCTGAGTATTTAGATATTTCCCACGACAATTTCGCTTCGATTTTGCGAACATTTTCGCAGCTTTCCAGACATCGCGTCCACAGTGCCGCAAAAAGGACGACAATGTGCGTTTCTTGCAATGCGCTCTCCGATTTTAACGCAAGGTTGAATATTTTCTGCGTTCGCCACCCTTGAGCGAGCGATCCGGATGAGAGGGTCGTTAGCTCGCGTTGGCACGGAAGAGACTAGACGGGAATCTTATCTACGGATGCTGGGCACCGATCCAGTCCTTCGTCTAGACGAGGAGGGGTCTGCCCTAATATACGGTTCGATAAAGTTTTCTTTACTCACGCGCGAACTTATTCAATATTCGTCAGCGAATTCTCCTTTCGTTAAGCCAGGCACGCTGTTACGGCTGCTACGAGATCACACTTCCCGACATAGCAACCGACATAGATATCGGATAACGGATGAGAGGGGCTCGAGAAGCGTGTTTAAAAATAAAATAAAATAACCGGAAGAGTAGAATATGCGGTGAGGTGATTATTTGCGAGGCGCGCAAGAAATTCTACGAATTTGCGGGCGTAACGCGTGCCAGTTCGGTTTCAATGCCGTTGGCTTCTGAATACTTCCCCCTCCCCCTCCCCCCCGCCGCCGACTTTTGAATAGTTACGCTCACAAAAGCGAGCGTGAGCTGACGCGAGCGGACGTGTTATTGTGTCAGCGACGTTACTATCCGACGTCACTTTTATCTCCGTATCCGCGAAATATTGTTATTCGTGATGCGAAGCACTGTTCTCGGCGACGCCGTTAATCGATTTTAACGTTTCGCCGGTGCGGATAATTCGATCGATATGGAATGTTCGACGGTGCCTTTCTCGCGCCACGATTTCTACGGGCGCGATTTCGAAACTGTGCGGCGCGGTGGACGGCATGCGTTTCCGGTCGCCAATGTTAAATGGGCTGTACATTTTATATTGAGATCAACATTAATTGCGCGCGCGCTTCGGGTGCACCGAGAACAACAGGTGTCGCGCCTATACATTCTACACGACAAATTAATTGAGGCTGCTGAATTACCTCATTGGATACGCGCGCACGAACTCTGTAACATATGTCGAACACGCTATCAAAATTCAGATCCCTCGCGATAACAATCTGTAATCTGCGATGAGCAATACATATAGGCGCGGTGAAGCGTGAACACGGAAGAACATCTTGAGTTATTGTTATCGGAGTCGAGGTAATGATGTAATTTGCACGAAAATTAGAAAATTCCAGATTACCGCGACACACTGAGTGAATCACATCGCGTGATTCGACTAATGTATGTGTAGAGCTCCATTTCACGAACAGATTTCCTTGAAACTCCTTCTCGAGATACGAGTCTGTGTAGAACAACGCACATACTCAGGCACCGCGACAAAGAAGATTCAGATTCTGCAGTGGCAAAACTTTGGCCTTCCGCGACAAGCCATCCGCGTTCATTGTCCCATCGACACTCTGATGGAGCAAAAAGTGGAGCGAAAAGTAGAGGTGGTCCGGAATTAAAGTTTCGCCTGAAGACAATGGAAACCTACTTTTGTACACACGTTGAAAGGAACTACCAGGAACAATTCTCCGACAATATCTGTAGCGCGGGCGATAGAAATGCGCCCTTCTGTCGAAAAGTGAGGAAGGAAAAACGACGTGGATGGTATGCGCGCTGTTCTCGAGTTGCTTCCATTTTTTTATCGAACATTTTTTACTACCAACCGCGCGCGCACGCGCGCGCGATGAATAGTCAGAGAGAGAGAGAGAGAGAGAGCGCTGTTTCTCACTGAAGACCGAAATCATTTTCTCTCGGCTGGGTTTTCACGAACCCGCGGATTTTGTTCGCAGTTTCATAGATCAGCATGCTAATTTCGGTAATTAGAATTCCGGCTTAGAGGCAAAAAAGAATATGAATTTATCATCCACTTTCGCTCTCATCTAAGAGGCTTATTCGGTTAAAAGCTTCATTATCTTTTGAGTCGCTAATTACCGTAAAAAAATTATGGAAACCACGGCGCTTCAGTCGACGAACAATCGCGACCATAAATTGACTGATCTGAATCTGCCGGTAAAAGATTAATGCGATAGAAATGAGACTCGCTCAGTCTCTACCGCGAGAGGCTACGCACAAATGAAAGAGGAGAAATATGGGGCCGTGCAAAAAAATTCATGCCAATTTTTACTAGCTTCGAACGAAAACGAGAAACGTTGTGCGAGGTAGGTTTGCACGTAGGGAACGTGTCCCTCACCTTATAACGGATTCAATTACGCGGGTATCCGAGTCCGTGTGGCACTCGAGGTTACCATGATGTACGGGGGTCATGTAAAATTTAAAAGTGACGCGCAACGTACCAAGACTGCTAACCGCCTCATGACTTGTGGTTTCCGTTTCGGCGTTATGGTGGCCATACTAACCGGTTTCGGTCGGAAACGGGACACCTCGTTCTCTCGGGGGAAATGTCTAAAAACGACCTGACGTCGCTCGCCCGCTCGCCTTTTCCTCCGTGTGTATATCCGCTGCCCAAACACTCCTACGGAGCTTGCCTCCCGTACCGTGTTAAAAATGCATCTTTGTCTGTATCCGCGCGATTTTGACTCATTTAACGATGTAACTCGTGAAAGAAAGACGTCTGCGTAATTTCTTATTACTCTTTCTCCTTCTCTCCCCTATTTTATTCTACTCTATTCCGTGGCGTGTGGTGAGGCCGCTTCGCAGATAGAGAACGTTTCACGACCAACTGCAAATAGAGGTCTCTTTATTGTTTCCTCAATTTTCATACATATAACAATATAAACGCTAAATGAAGAAAAGGAACAGCTATATCACGCGCGATAATACGCGGCGTATTAGGTATCGGGTCTGTGATCGGTACCGAGAGGATGCATAACGTGCAATTCGCTTAGGAATTGTATGAGGAGAAAAGCGAAATAAAATGAATATAAAAGATAACCGTAGCTGCGACGCACTACACCTCCCGTGATATTCAGGTAAATGATAGTAGCTATGAGCGAAAAGAGGAGAAAAGCCATGCAGCCGGGTGCCATGTTGCTGATCCTGATTTTCGTTTGTTGTTCAAGATCGGTGGCGGCAGCGATACCATAAGTCAACCCAAGTCCCACTAGTGTGTTAAACATTGGTCCGCCGAAACAAGCCGCATATCCCATGCGCGGAAATCCTTGTCTGGCGATGGTGATATTCGATATGAGATCTAGACAGAGTTTCGAATTACCTCGAACATGTATCTCAACATAATACATGCAGAGACCTTTGCCGGACGAACTGCTACCGCATACACCGCGACTCGTGAACGACAATTCAACCGTTTTCAGTCATTGTTCCGCCATATAATTATTTTTAAATTAATTTAAACCTTTGGCGCCAGCACGACACCCGGTGAACACATGTCGTGCTATCGACTTACTGCACTTCTGACGGTAGTTCTAGCTTGTTCTACTCGACTTCCATACGATTCAACCATTTTCAGTCATTGTTCCGTCGTATAAGTACTTTTAAATTAATTTTAGCGTTTGGGACCAGCACGACATTCGGTAAAAATGTGCTGTCGATTCCCAGCATTCCTGATGCATCGTATCTCTTGAGTTTAATTTAACTGATCGTAATCAGAGACCAGGAATTAATATTATTAATTTTCTATGCGTCATGCGGGGAGGGGCGGAAGATTTGTGTGTGAAATATTGTAATTTATGTGTTTCGTTCATAAATATTTTAATATCTGTTCAACAATCAACTTTAATGAAAACGTTCAATATGCATAAAACTATATTTCCGCACCGACGTAACATATTAGGTGGGGAGTAATTTTAGTAGTTTTCGCAATCATAATTTTTCTCTTTTTCTTGGCGTCGTCATATTTATAGTTATACGCCGGAACAAAGACTGAAAATGGTTGAATTGTATGGAACTCGAGTAGAACAAGTTAGAACTACCGTCAGAAGTGCAGTAAGTCGACGGCACGACACATTTTCATCGAATGTCGTGCTGGCACCAGTGGTTAAAATTAATTTAAAAATGAAAATGGTTGAATTGTATGAAACTCGAGTAGAATAACTTAAAACTACCGTCAGAAGTACAAGAAGTCGACGGCACGACATGTTTTCGCCGAATGTCGTGCTGGTCAATATTTAGAATTCTATGGAATTGTTAAATGTTGGAATTTTGTTCTGAAATGCTTTATAGTTGTAGAACTAGCCTAGAACTAACGGGTACTCTCGTTAAAATGTGTATTATTCACCAGTTTCTTATACTTTAGAGAAGACTGGGTCGTGCTGAAAGAATCGGAAAGAAAACTGCGCAGCGTCAAGTAAGTTGGCGCTGCGTAAATGTCGCGTGTCTGTGAAGTTAGCACGACGATTTTTTTAATTTCGATTTTTTCGTATTAAGACGATTACGGAATTTTTTTTAATTTTTATTAGGAACTATAGAACTATGAAAAATACTGTGACTAACTACTGTAACTAGCATTATTTTTTAATAATTTTTAAAACGTCGTGCTAACACGTTCACAGACACGCGATTTATGCCTACCCACTTGACGCTGCGCCGTTTTCTTTCCGTCGCCACGTCGTTTGGAAATTTAATCCGAAGCGGTCTTATGTTTCGTCGACAGTGTTTTTCGTTATCCTTACTACCGTCCTAAGATATATATCCCGAGAGATATTTCTCACATGACTCACCACCAATGCTGTTTCCCCACGCAAGGAAAGTGATGCCTAGCATTGCGTCGGATATACTGCACGCGTATCCTATGCATTGCAGCACTGCCATAATCTCCTCGGCCACCAAATAAACCGTCAGCATGGCAGCTAAGAATCCAAAGAATGCGAAGACCTGCAATCACCGATGCCATGTACTCTCATACCAATGACAAAAGCAACACGTATCGAACACGTCTCTTTTTATGATATGCTTTTTCTTTCCAAGTATAACCATGTCGCGCGAACGCATACGAAGCTCTCATCATTCACTTGCGTAAAAAGGAAGGAAAGCTACTCACATTATGAAACTTCGGCACGCGGTCAACGTGAGTCGTTGCAAATACAATTATACCAATCACTATGCCAGCAACGAGGAATATCGGCACAATTGGTACATTGCCAATACTTCGGTGCCAAACTATAATAGAACAATTAAGGAAAACATTTGAATTAGACGGTAACAACCAAACTCGTCGATTCGACGAATGTCAATTCAATGATTATTCATTACACTGATATTATCTGTCTTACGACTGAACATTTTAGAAAACGTAAATTCTGCTTTCTTAATGTTGTTAAACATTAAATTATGCTGAAAGGGGATAGAGCAAAAGAAATAAATAAAAATGTAGAGAAAATAAACGACACCTTTAATATATTCAGAAACATATTCTCTGAATGTTTCAATATATTGTTGAAGATTGCGATTTTTATTTTTGTTCGAGTATATTACAATGAAACAAATAATCGTCTATAACCGAGCGATATATTTTCTTTCTTTATGAAAATAGAGTTACTAAAAAAATGTGCTCCCGTCAAGATGAAATAATTTTTGGAACCTGTATGGAATATTTTGGCTGCGGGCGATGCTGCTCCGAGTGATTTAATTTATTAAATCATTATCATGTATAATGTTTAAAACTCGCATAATTTATAAACATATATAATTTGCACTTGCCGTAACATAAGATTACAGGCAACATGGATGAGTGGCACTAACCATTCAGCAAAAACAACACCATTGTAGGCGTCACGCACAACTGGAAACAATTCAGTAACTTCGACCAACCCTTCTTCACGGCTGTAGGATTTACCACCGGTATAAACAGCTGAAGTAGAAACATGACGGGCGCGCGTATAATTAAGACAGCCTTAACCAATCCACTCGACTTTTCCCAATCTTCTCTGTTAATCGGATTGACATCGTACAAAAATTCCCTGCAGAGACCCTGCGGTCGATCGGAGACGTAGTTGTTAATTTCCGGACCCAACTGGACGGAATCGCCCCGTACGGTGCGTCTCTTTCTTTCCGCTGCGACAGCAACATCTGGCTCATGCGAACATACGACAGTATCAGAACCAAGTGACCAAGTATCGAGCACAACATGAGAATCAATCGAGTTTATGATATCACTTGATATCAGCGAAAATACGCGACGCGTAACAAACCTGCGCAACAAACGATGCAAAGATAAATAGTGATTTTGAGTAATACGAGAACGCGGATCGATGCATCGCATGAATACGTGCGATGTGTGCGGGCAAGAACAACGCGGTTTCGAAAATATTGGAATTAGTGGAAAAGCTGAAACAAAAAATTGTGGGAGAAACCAAAGCATAAATATATGCGATGAATCGTAAAATGTCTGTACCTAGATTGGCGTATAAACCAAAAGGCCGGCTTCTAGTGGGAATCTGGGGTATGGTGCTTGTGTCCCTGTTCGCCAAGTAAGTATGCAGAACGTCTGGATCGGGTACACTTGGGATCCTGGCTGAACGTACATAAGAATGTTCTCGGGTAAAGGGATCGATACTTAGCACGGGTGAAAATTTTCTTCGGGCTATAGGAAACGAGCTAGTCATCTTCTCCCCATTTCTACAGCGGATTCGAAAGATTACAAAGAGATTCTCTCGCAGGATAGCGACATCGCGTCTCTCGCCGTGGACGCGCGCTGAATCGCGTAGAGATATTTTAAGGGCGTATCTTTCTCACGGAGCGGACTCGACTTGCACGGTGACGAGTCGAGGAAATATCATTCGGATGAACGTGTACTTTAGGAAAGTTACGAATTCCCGGGGTTACCGTTCGCTGTCCAAGATTCTTAAATAGGATAGCAAAGGCACTCGCGCAATCTTTCTCGGTAAATCAGCAAGCGCCTCGACGCACTTTTCAGACTCTCTTCCCTAGCGTCGTACATCTGCATTATCACGACCGCCACGATGAACAGTACGTAGAGCAGAATAAAGCCTGCAATTAAAATGTATCAGCATTAAGAAGCATTAGCGTCGCTCGGCCCACAAGGTTATCCCCCGGCACGTACTGCCGCAATAACGAATAACCTCCCATGTATGATATTACGCAAAAAAAAAAAAAAAAAAAAAAAAAAGAAAAACAAACAGAAGAGACTCAGACAACAGCCCATATATTTTCCTTTTCATTAGAAGAAAAGATTTTAATTACTCCTTTTCCCCCCTTAATATACGAACGAGAAGGAAGTAATACCAGGGGCGGAATTCATTCTAAGATCTCTTAATGAAGAAAACAATAAGTGAATGCGCATACTGAATTTCAGTATGAGTCGCTTGCTCTTTGTCGCTTTCAAAAGTTGCTTCTAAAAGGAACGCGCGCTTATTTATATACGCACAGCCTGCATTAAGCAGACATTGTTCGAGAGAATTTGACTGGTCTATCCGAGTAAAATTGAGTTTTCTACCCACCCGTTTGTCCGTTTGTTACCCCAGTTGCATATACGCGCGCGCGATATAAGCGAAATGAATCAAGATATTTAACGGTTTCATACGCTTAATAACAGTCTCTGTTTGTGCGAGCGCAAAATTATTTCCTCCGCGGGCTTTATGCATTGCAACAATAATCTCCGCGTTTCCTACGAAATGGGCTTCTTGCCTCTCGGATCCCCGCAAAAATTCATCGACAGTCAGATTGCGAGCCAACCAGCTAGCAGGTGGGCGTTTGGAGGGAGAGAGGGGGAGAGAGATTGCGGCGTAGCTTAATTAAATTCACCGAAGAATTATCGTTATTCCGGAATGAAACCACTTATGTGGTTTCCCGCGAATAAACTTTCCCGCTCGTTGCGACGTGTCGCTGATCTGGCGTGTGAAATACCGATAAGTTTCAACAAATACCATCGTAATTATTCTTGTACCTCGCGATAAAGCCAATATTGTAGTCTTAATTATTTCGCTCAGCATCCAATCAGTGATTTAAATAACTTGATTGAAATAACGATTTACATGTATTAGAGCATTCTGTAAAAATGTAAATATGACAGTTTTTTGCTCCGTTATCGACAGCTCGCAAAGATTAATCGATTAGAGCCGACGGAAATTGTCGGCGGTTCAAATCTCTTATAATTTATTCAATCGCGTGAACCAAAAGGAAGAGCCAAACGATCGCGATCGCTTTACGTTTACTCTGCTTGGCTATTCAAGCGTAAAGAATCGATATTAGCATCCAAAGTACGAATAATAATATTTGTTTGATACTTTTGTGTAGAATAATAGAAGAAATGCGCAGAAGATCACTTTTCAATAATTTCTGGAATATAATCACGTTTTCTTCACTTTTTTTTCGTATGATATTGTAAGCTTTAAAAATTATATCGTTGAACATTTTCTACGTATCGATTGCCTTCAAGTGAATCAGGCGTAATTAATTATATGAAAAACTCACGGGGTTGATAATATCTGGAATATAACCTGTAAAGTAAAAGATGTACCCTTTCTCTGAAGGGAATAAGGGATTTATGCATAATTTTGCGCTATTTGCAAGCTACTAGTGAGTGAATAAGGGAAAAGGAAAATAAATTGTATTAATTTCTGTCGTTTTCGTCGTATCTGCGAGTGAGATGAGAGATTTGTGTCGAAAGAGATGATACAGTGTCGTAGCGTACGGGAGTGGGCAGAAGAAAATGAACCGATATCGCCCTATCAAATTTGAATAAAGATAGCAGACGTACTTACGGCCTCCCAGAGGTGAACCATATCGTCTCGCACCACGAAAGTAATCCAGCATATGGAGGTTATATAAAAACAAACGTCCCTCATATGGGACTTGAGCGAAACTTTAAAAGGCTTAATTATCGCCACAGAACCGGCGATCAACGAGGTCACGAAGACACCCGCGCCGATTAATTCAGTGAACATTATTATCGCTTCGTCGCCTCTCGACACGACGAGGGACGTGAAGATGTCAGGCGCACCGTTTCCGAATGCCAATATCGTCACTCCCGCTATGCTGTCCGATAGATGCATTATATTGGCTATTACCGCCAGCGATGGACAAAAACTGAAATGAAAATGTCGCAATGATTAATTTCCTTGTGTCCTAATGTGCTTCGCTATTTATTCCGTAATTAATTTTAATACTGCACTAAGATGCGCTGAAGGAATATGTTGAGATTAAAAAGACGTCAATTTTTGGTCTTCCAATTACACTACTCAAAAAAATTATGGCATCAAAAGATATGCGCTGAATATTGCTCAACTTTGAACAATGATTACTCAGCGACAAATGGTCGTGAGACCATTGAATGATTTTCTTTTTAAATTAAAGGTTGAAGTCTCAACTTTGACATGCTTTCGGTTGATTTTAGATCCAGTTCATTTCCACAGCGTGCAATCCCATAACCCAATGGCATGTTTCTGATTTAAAAATTTGCGAACTTTGACAAAACGCACGGGCATGGGTAATTTTTTTTCGAAAATTCTATTTGCAGGAATGAAAGTTTAATTCTTCCCCTTTAATTAAAAAAAAATCAAGTCTCTACGATTCTGCAGCTTTTAAAGAAATCCTTACATTTTCGTTACTGGAAGTAGGGTTTGCGTAGCTATGTTCGATAATCTTTGGCACTGACACATTGCCGACTCCGGGGTATCTTCTCGTGAAGTTGTCATCTGTTGTCTTCCCTGTCCCTCTCGTGGTTGTAAATTACCTGTTTCCCGGAAATGTAACCGGAAATTCGCGAAATTGCGGATTGGTTAATACCGAGTCGCCTCACCATGTACCTTTGCGAGAAGCCTTCGCTCATAAGCGCAATAATTAGTGCTCGTTGAGCCTGAGACAATAGATGCGTGTTTCTTTATCGTAAAACACCACCATGAACTACCTCGTTTTACACTTGATGCAAAAATTCGGTCCCATCCCATTAGGTAATGCCAAAGTTGGCAGTGATTTCCTACAAACTCTACCTTCAATAACGAAAATATACGGGTTTCTTTAAAGTGCTGTAAAATCGCGAAAAAAAATCGTAGAGAATCGTTGAATTTTTTTAAATGAAAAGGGAAGAATCAAACTTTCATTTCCCGCAAATGAAAATTTCGAAAAAAAATTACCGAAGCCTGTGCGTTTTGTCAAAGTTGCAAATTTTTAAATAAAAAACATGCCATTGAATTATGAGATCGCACGCTGTAGAAATGAATTGGATTTAAAATCAACCGAAAGCTTGTTAAAGTTGAGACTTCAACCTTCGGTTTAAAAAAAAAAGATATCATCGTCTTACAACCATTTGTCACTGAGTAATCATTGTTCAAAGTTGAGCAATTTTCAGCGCAACTTTTTTGCGCAGTGTACGTAACGATTTCATGAATAGCGCTTAAAATGTGAGAAATACGTAAAGAAGTACGAGATGAGAGGAGAGCGAAGAAACTTTCGAGTAATGTTCGTTTGAAAGACGCACATTACTAAACTAACATCGTGTATATACATCCAACAATCGCTGTTCCATTGCACACTGAGAATGTGTTATTCGCGGAAAAGTAAGTTTCCTCTCTTAACCGAGTTTCAGCCATTATAATGACCACAGATCAAAGCTAAACTCCGAGGAGGAACTCCGCGATATAGGCACAGTTGCGTTTCTGCTATTATAAGCGCGGCGAAATAAATGTTGTACAACTTTTTAGCAATCTTCCGAAGAAATACCAAGGATATCTAGATGATTATCGAGTCAACGCTGGAGCAGCGAAATATCGAATACAAACGTCCATCGCAGGTGAAACTTCGGTTGAATCGCCAGTTATAAACTCGCAACTGAGAGTCAGTGTTACGCGCGAGATACACGTCGATTTTTATTTCTACGCGCTATATTTTTTGCATGATTTATTCGGGCAAGTGGAGAAACCTTCTCGTCACAAAGGACGGTATGTGGGTGTCGACAGAAGCGCGACCAGAAGATTTCCGGCGTTTCGGGATCCCGTTATTGGATGCACTCCTGCGTGGCAATTTGCCATTTTTCCTGATATTTGTGCAACTCGAAGGAACGGGCGAACTTTCGTTTATCATTTCGAAAGAAACTGCTCCATAGAATGCAGACGGTTGAAATAGTGGAAAGCATGAATCTTTCGATTATTGGCTTGGTTAGTTGCCAGGAGTCAAAATTCGTTGTACTCATGTAATCATCAATATTCCGTAGACAGTAACACGTTTTCTCATTGGGATCGAACTTGGCCCAAGTTCGCAATTTCGGAACCGAGATAAGGTGCAATATCATTATTTCTCGCTCTTACATATCGTGCTCTTCTATAAGTCTCACTCGTGATCGATCATTATTTGACAAATGATCGCGTCGTATCGTCGTGCGGTCTCTTTACGTTCACATTTACAAATAGAAAATTAAATATAACAAAATTAAATAATTAAATATTTTACAGTTATCTATCTATACGTTTACCGAATTGCTTGCGAGAGTGCGTTACGCTGAAACAGTCTCTAATTGGAGTAATTCAATTAAAACACATATGTGTAAGATCGTAAATAATTGTCGCTTTCGCTCAAAGACTGGAAAATAATCTTCATATATGATTAAGACGACCGGCCTGACGTAAAGTTTAACTTACAAATTGCCCGCCGTAGTTGCCAAGATCAAGAATAAATAGAGTAGCCATAGGAGCATGAGCAGCAAGCCGCAGGCAAACAGAGCCACGTCTTCGGATTTAAAGAAGCAAAACAACAGCACCGTATACTGAATCACCGAGTCTGAGAAGCAGTCTTCGGTGCTCTTCACCCATTCGCAACGCTCCGCGGCGGAAACTTGCCAAACGTACGAGCAATCATCCTGAAAAAAAGATTTGACGAAGAACTCGACGCGACGCGACTGAAAGAGACGTCGATAACAATTCACCTCCCGTATGGGCAGATGCCCGTGTCTTAAAAAAGTGCTCGATATTTGCGACCTCATGTTCGAAAAGCATAAAAGCGCAACGGAGCGATATGTAACCTATATTTTGTGTATTTGCCTTTCACGGATCCACTCGATCGTTGCCTATTCAAGTAGAAGCGAGCGAAACTTCAAGCGATACAGACAGAAAGCTGTCACATACGTAGCGCATATATGCGCGCGCACGCAGTTCAAAACATAAATTCAATATGATGCACACATAGAATGGATTCCTGACAACGACAGCACATACACACACACACACACACACACACACACACACACGAGGCTACTTTTATATAGATTGATGCAAAGAGATTTAAGAAAAATGAATATCGTCATTTTATAATTTAATATTTATTATTTAATTTAATATTTTAAATATTTGAAATGTCTCTGCCTGTTTTATTTCTAATAAATATTTACGAGCGCAATATTTACGAGAGAAAGTGTCGGGCACTTGAGTGCTAAATCGATACGAGTGCGAGATCGATTTACGCAAATCAAAATGGGTAAAAATAATGTTTTTTACTAGCATCGCATTTTTTAACTAGCCGAGAAACGTCTCGACAATGTATCGTTTCGCTAGAGAGAGGAAGAAAAGGGGAGAGAGAGAGAGAGAGAGAAAGATATACGATCATCGGATTCTCTCGGCTGCAAGAGTGTGTGCACTCGACAATGTCTCTGCTCGACGACGAGGTGAGACTGAACGGGTACACTCGTCCACACTCGTCTGATAGCAACGAGAGGCTCATTAGACGCGAAGCGTCCCTTCTTCTTCTCCTTCTTCTTCCCTTCCGCCCCATTTCTGTCCATGACGAGGCGATGGAGAAAAAAGGAACGGCAGTAACGAGCACGGAAGGAAACCTCCTGGCAAACGGATACGCTGTCATCTAACGCCGCGATATTATATCGACACTTATTCGATATTATTGTCAGCTTACGATAATGAAAATTCAATGATACGTCGCGAGTCACGACGACGACCGACAGTTCGTTAGGTCCATTATTACAAACCGAGAACTTTCGCAGTCGTTATCAGTTTTATGGGAGAATACTCGCGGATAGAGGACATTCGGGGAACAATGCGAGAATGGTTTCGCTCAACGCAATTCGCAACGGGTGAAACACCGACGATGTTGCAGCACGATGTTAAAATTGTAGGTGTTTATTGTTAAAAGACTGAAAGTGGATAGAATGCTCGTCATTAAAATGCACAATCGATACGTCGAATATTTTTTTCATGGGGGTTTTTTTTTCCATACTCTTGGAATCCAGTTCGAATCAAGTATTAAAATTGTTACAGCATTATTGATATTGATGGGGAATATCAAAGGGAATTTGGCTCGAAGCGTGTGGGTTAAGATAAATAAATTCGCGTCGGTATTGCACGCGTCACACAAGTATTAATATTTGAGAGATCGCGGTTAGTATTTTAGCATTAGCGGGAAAACCTTAGCCTTATAAATCTCGCTTATCAGATAAACGCAGTGAACCCGCAAAAACGATAAATCAGAGCTAGTTGGGCAAGGGTCGAATAGTGATAAGAACCATAATAAATTAGATTCACGAGAGATTTGTTATTTTAGCATAAAATTGTTGGAGACTCTTTAGATCGAGCACTCGACTGATCTTCTCTTTCTCGTCTACCCTCTCCGCCCTTCCTCTACCTTCTCTCCGACGAAAGGTCATAGAAGAAGTCGCGCACTGACGTCTATCAATCTATCTCTATTGTTGCCTACTTCCTAACAACTTTCCATTAAGCCCATCTTTCAGCGGCAGCGTACTTCTCCGTAATTGCCAACTTCAGCAAATTGTCATTTATCGCTAGACTTCTTTTGTGCTGCTTTCGCTCTAAACACCTTATTGAATTGCATTCACAAGGCACAAAGGAGCCAACGGCTTTACCCCAATTTATACTGCGCTTTTATTCTCCCTACGAGAGCCAAGCGCGCTCGCTTTGCTTTTCCGGTTTCCTGTTTTGGCTTTCTCTCTCTCTCTCTCTCTCTCTCTCTCTCTCTCTCTCTCTCTCTCTCTCTCTCTCTCTCTCTCCCCCCCCCTCAGCGCCGCCTGCACATTTATAATAAAGCGCGTGAGTGATATAAGGCTGGAATATGCAAAAGCTTCTTTCCGTAGTATAAGACGACTCTTACAATTAATGTAACGGCGCGCCCGGCATTGTGTTGTTGAAACCGAGTATGTGCGAGTGTACACACCCGGTTATGCTCGGACACTGCGCTCCGTGTGTTTCGCAGAATAATTTATACCGGAGATAAAACGAGTGCTCGTTTTGCAAATGTTAAAATAACGACGCAATTTGTCTCAATTGTATCGGTCATCTCGAAAGAGCCGCGAGAAGCCCTCTTTAACTTTTATCTACGGTGAATCCGCGACTCTCATTGAACGCGGTTTTATCATACCGAGCTAATTCAATAGTTGCACTAAGAATCCGCGTGAAAAAACTCACGTCGAGGGATTACACGGTTAGAAGAGCAAGTACAAAAAACAGCGCGCGGTTCGTTTAACGTAATAATACCCGTATGCAAAAGAATGAATAAATCGCGTTCTGATATTTTTGTCAGTTGCACCATCTCGTTTCACTCGGGGCGGTTATGTATCCGGGATAAAAACTAAAAATGACAGGCGGACATCACGGGCGCGCGCATCGCTCAGAAAAATTCAACAGCATTCGATGGTTCGAGCGAGTGAATCGCTCTAACAACACAAAATATTCTCTGTGACGTCAAGATCCTTCTGTCGAACGCGTCGAGTCAGAGTCAGAATATGAAAGACGAAATTCCGCCGTATACAGCCGAGCATAGCGCATCAGTTCGGTATCTAATTAATCGCGTTTTACGGCAGTTTGACAGTTTTACGTACGTATAATCGACCGGTGCTGCGCGTCTTACACGTCGGATTTTTGTCGAAATCGCCGACATTATCGCAGTCAAAACGTCGGCCATCCGAGCTGTATATTCATTATTTAGGTCAAGCCATATCGAGGAGCTATGTCGGGATTTCGAGTAACGAGGGAGAGAAATTCAATTAATCTGAGACTACGGTCGTTCGTCGGACAATTATCGGTAGACTTCCAATAACTTGTTGAAACAGATGCTAGCGATAGGTGTGCGCGATATCGACGAATCTTTTTCTCTCTCGGATATTAGAATCTTTAACACTTCGACCCAACCAGTCGATACACGCAAAGGAAGTGATGAGAATCTTTTTCTCCCTCGAATATCAGAATCTTTAACACTGCGATCCAAGCAGTCGATACACGCAAAGGAAGTGATGTGAGAAACCAAATGAAGTTTCGAATTTCAAGTATATTTGTCATATCATTTCTCTGAAATCTTACATATCGGTCTCTTGTTAGAGAAATGAATTATGTATGTAACAATCACTGTAAAATAATCTGTTTCTGATTTATATATTCATTACTCTTTCGTGATAAATATAAATCGCTTATGAGATTGCATATTTTTCTAATTTTACAAAAAAATTAGTATTTTTCAAAAGTTAATGTACTTTTTTATTTATGAAAACACTTTTTTTATTTACGATATCACTTTTCTTTAGCACATTGCTTCTTCTATTAATAATAATTCTTTTCCGTTTATAATACAACGGACGGAACACCACATAAATTAACCAAACTGTAAACACTCCTATGAGCGTTATTACCAAAGCAACGTCCAGCAGCAGATACTGATACCACGTTAATTCCGTAGCTCCCATTTTTAAAAAATTCGCATCGTGGCGAAGCGTGTGTTCCACCCAATAAACGGCTTTCTCTAATGGCGGCATCGGGCGATCTTTAAATTCAAAGGAAGCTTTCTGTGCCATTTCCGTGTAACTGTAACATGAGCGAATAGTTTGCGCGTAATTAATGAATTGATGGTAGATATATTGTCAGTCAATCAAAAAGTTCAGTTTGATTTTCACGTCAAATCTGACTTTATTGTATTCAGCCGGAACAATAATTCACCGAACATGTAATCGCCGTTATTATCCATGATCTTTCGCCGACACTTTGACAGCATAGCTCTATTGTAGAGGACGATCAGATGGTTCCTCTCTTTCTTTCTGCTTTCACCGCAAAATTATTGAAAATCTAACCGAGCCTTTTGACCGACTGAATAGAAAGCACTCATCAGTTTGATCAATATTACACGACAACATCGCGCGTATCATATGATAGATAAAGTCTGTCACACTCCACACAGTGTCAATGTTTAATTCGGATCATGCATCGAAGTATATAATGCCGGAACTGCGCTTTATGTTGATATTTAAAAAAAAATGCAGCGATACATGGCGTCGAATCAAATTCCCGTTTATAGAAGGTTTCAATTACCGTTTCAATTTTCGCCGATCGCGCTATATCGCCAATCAAAATTTCCTTGAACCGCACATTCAATGAAAATTGCCATTTTCCCTGAATGTAAGTCATAAACGCACTCATAGGCATTTTAATTTTGGAAATAAAGCCTGTACCTCTTGTTCGTTAGCAGTTCATTCAAATTGCTCCGCAACTGCTCGTACGAAAAGTCCTGGAAATTCAAGCGCAGCGCCAGTCCCTTTTCCACCAAGTAGGCCATGTTCAAGTGCTGATCGCCGTAGAGGGGCATTCCTAAGATCGGCACCCCACAATAAACCGCTTCTTGTATCCCCAGCATCCCTCCGTGAGTGATGAAGAGTCGCGTATTCGGGTGGCCTAGACATTTCGTGATAAACGGGTGCTTGTCATCTTCATGCGGAGCGTGCATTTATTTGGCATCGCAAAGGGGTCACAAACGAAGAATGACATTACCTGTTAACTCTTGAGATTAACTATTCGCGGGTGTTTAGCATTTGAATTATTGTTCCGGGAAAATCGACTCTTTAACTTAGCATTTTAATCTTCTGTGCTTCTGCGATCCCTTCATCCGGTTACTTTTAAGTTATTTTTTATCCACCCACGTCTCAATTACGGTCATTGATCATGGTTTTAAGCGCGAAGGAAGTTACACGCTGGTGCACCGAAACTTTTCACCATTGCCGAGCAGAGAACACGCTTCTCATCGTTCAAAATTTTTTAGAACCGATGTCAGTTAAGTGGATTTAAGTTTACGACTGCTCCCTTTGCAATCTCGCGCCAACTACAATATTAGTGCTATTTTGTAACTAATTAAAAACTTGAACTCCTCCGAGCCTCCTCCGAGCTTTAACCTCTTGATGAGCTTGAAACGAACATTGCGAGTTAACAATGACTCTTGGGCGCTGGATTCACGTGAGACAAAAAAAGCGGAGCCGTAATAGCGGCTAAAACGAAGTAATAAGGATAACGAGGTTGATTGCATAACATAGCGAAAATGGAATTTCATGAAAAGAGCGCCGGTCACGTGGCGGTGGTTTACGTGGGAGAACGGGCGAATACCTGAAAATAATTTGTTCTCTTCAGGTGTGTGCGGCCGCCGGCGCCGTTGTAGAAAGGAAAAACGCGCGGACCGAGTCACGTGTATCTGCACGTGAATATAGATCGCGCGCGCGCGCGCGCGCGAATTGCACGGAGGATATACGCACATACGCAATTATTTTCGCCGGTCGCGTCTGTGTGCGAAGCAATTACTTATTTGCGAAATCAGTTGGGAAAGTCGTTGCGTTAAAGGTCGCGCGAGGAACGAGATCGCGTAATCGTGCCGTGTGCAAAATCAGCCGGAGATCATTATAAGCGTCTCCGGGGGCGTCGCCGGGCTGCTTACATGTGTAATTACTGTGCGTACATGTGTAATTACACACGTACAGGATGAATCTCTGAGAAGTACGAACGCGAAAGTCCGCGGTCGCATTCTCCGGCCTCGATGCGACGGATTGATTTTTCTCGCCAGCCGACTCACTCTCGCCCTCGCGAGTCGCTCCTTCGCGAAGATTTCTACCCGCAGCTCGTTCCGATAAGCGCCGCGCTTTGCCTTGATAACAACAAACGGTGAATTTGTAATGCACATTAAAAGCCGCTCAATATTCGCGCAAATTGACCTGCGGATTATTTAACGGTAATGCAAACTTCAAATGGGTTTTATGCGATCGCCGGATAATGACATCGCAATAAATAAATGATTCGCTCGGTGGGTACTACGGTGGGCAATACGCATTATCCCTCTGCGTGCGCGTGGATGGGTACACCCGCGCCGCTATCAAATACCGCGCTGCCAATGGCGCGGTCGGCGAGGGACAAAAGAACCGCGCGGGGCTCGCAGGCGAATTTCGGACGCGGCGCGTAATAAACAAAGGCACACCGCGCCGAGAATTAAAACACGTCGCTGCTTCCGAAAAGGGCGCTTTCTAATTAATCACAGTTTTAATTGAATTTAATTTTTCATCATCATTGTAACGGTATTCGATTGCTCTTATTCGGATAATTTTCAATATTCTCGCTCGTACTCGAATTCGCGATGACTTCAACGCGAGCGGGCGACGTCGCGCGTTGATAGAATAAGAACAACTTTCGCCCTCTTGCCGGTCCTCGCAAAACGGGATCAAATCAAGTTATTTCGTTTGAAATCTTCAAGACGCGCGACGTGCGGAACAAGAGCAGAGAGCTGGTTGCGATTACGCCACTGCGTGATAATTGATCGTTGATAGCTCGATCGATAAGACCCCGAGCTTTCTTCCGCGCTTGTCGAGCAAACGCGCGCGATAAGGAGAGGAAATCAGAACGCCGGAAAAACTTTCCCCCCTTAATCGCCTTGCAACGTCCGATCGACATTCGCTCCGTTATCAAGAACCTCCTCCGCCTCGGACGAGTCGCTCCTCCCGTGACCTTCGCGGATAAGCTTTTTCCGACATTTAATTCCGCGCGAGAACAAAACAGAAGAAGCCCATGCTTACACAATGCGGAGAGCTGCGGCATCCATTCGACGCACTTAACGTTGCGCGGCAGCGGGGAGGGCATACTCCGTTCGGCGCATTTCCACAGTATTTGCTGCGGTACTTGCTCGAATGCCCGGTAAAGGGCGGCAAACACCTGCTTCGGCATAGTGGACGGGTCCATTAGAGATCCCAGACTAAAGTAAATAACACCGTTCTCGCCATGCGAGTCCAGATAATCCTGAAGATCCACGGCCACTGGCTGCGGACCCGATATCGGGATATGAATACCTCCGATTTCCTTAAATCCTGGCGCCAGAGGACGCGCTACACTCACGGCCGGATGCCCGTTCGTCAGGATCAACGATATCCTGGACCGAAGGACGTCGAAGTCGGGCAAATCGTCCCCGAAGTACTTTCTCGCGATCTCATAGCTCGGCCCGTCGGAAAATATCCTGCCAAGTCGAGGTATCTGCGGTTAGCTTCTCGGCCGATAATCATTCAGCACGGTGACGATGTCATTCTCGACGGGAAGCTATCTTGCGTGCGTAACAGTCGATAGCTTGGAATTGGAGCGGTGTACGTACGTTACGATCGCCTGCGTTTTTACAAGCGAGCGCGGAGGAGCGTGAAAAACGAGAAAGAAGGAAGATTAAGATTTGGTCTTTTTCCTCTTCCATATCTCTCTCTCTCTCTCTCTCTCTCTCTCTCTCTCTCTCTCTCTCTCTCCCCCCTCTCTCTCCCTCTCTCTCCCTCTCTCTCTCTCTTTTTCTTTCTCCACGCTCGCATATAACTTAGCGCGCTTCGTAGCACTTCGCGTCGCAAAGCATTCGTTAAATTCTAAAATATTTACTGCCAAGTATGTAGCATAGACTCGTATCGAATATTTATCGCTCGCATGCGCGCGGCTGTGACGTTGAGGTTTTGTTTTATTTAAGAATAGAGCGATCGATATACGGTTCGTACGGTTGCGCGTGCCGACGCGTGAAACAAATCTCGAATATCCGTAAAAACGATTTCGTTGACGCACTTGTCCGCAAAATGGTATCTCGTGTCACGTGTCGATGAACATTAATCTTAACATTCCGGCAACATCGAACGAAATTACCGGCATTTACGCGACGCGTATCGCATTCATACGTGCCAAAAATAGGATTGCCGATAGTCGGAATTTCTAACAGCAATTTGGGATAAATTCCGTGCATCTGCTTCCCCACCTATAAGCCAGTTTGGTGATGAGTAGACCAGCCGTGTTAATCGACCTTTCAAGAAAACTCATTCTGCCGGTATAAGGGCTGAACCAATTGGGGATGTAACTCGGATTCTCCGGATTCCTCAGGATCTCGTTCGACCACGGCAACGTGACACTGCTGATGGCGCCAACTACTCTGGGTATGCTTAAAGCATGAGCGAAGCTCAAGAAGCAATCGGTGGCAAAAATCTCGATCACGAGCAAATCGAAGCGCTGCCGCGTCTCGATGATCCTCTTCACTTCCGGATGCTTCAGCACCGGCTCGCAGATTTCGACGCCGTGTCGGTAGGGCAGGTTCCTAATATTCTGCCAAATCGTGTAATTTTGTATGTCGTTGAACGGACGAGTGCCAACCATACTCGGCAGACTGGACGAAATGTCCACGTCGGTGAAGTTGGCCAGGCGAATCCTCTGAGGGAAGTGCGTCACCGCGACGATCTCGTGACCTCTCGCGGAGAGCCTCTTCAGCAGCGGCTCATACACGTTGTAGTGGCTCTTCACATGCAAGGGAAATACCGCCAGTATCCTGGCTCCATCGACCGCACCGAGCAAACAGGCGATCACGGTCAACGACGCCGCCGTAATCTTCATCGTGTGTCGAAGGCACGTGCACGGTCAACCCGGGATCATTAATCTCTCTGTTCGCGGATCGTTAATCAAAAATATCTGCTTTACAAAAAAAAAAACTGAACTCGGTAGTTTTGAAAAGAACATGAGATAATCTTGGCACGAGAATACACAAGTCGGAGAGACATTAATAATCTTCTTCGGTATAAAAGCTTTACACCAATTTCGCGAGCACACCAACAATATCCGAACTGTATTCCATCAGCATTGCTATGAGAACACTTGTGGAACGAACAATTGTTCCACTCGGTCGTTCTCAACTCTCCGCGCACGGTTACTCTTACGAAGATACCACACGATACTGAAGAACCGTGGGGAAGCCGGACCTGCGGCTTGTGTATTCTTCGGCTGGCTGTTTTTGTGCCTATTCCCACTCTTCTCGTTTCGTCCCATATAAGTTACTCGCGGTGCCACAAGACGCTTAAATATTCAAAACGATTAGGTGACAATTATACAATATCATATACAATACGTTGACGTTACCAGCGCGCTGTGTGTGTTTAGATAGTTAATATTGTTATTGATATTATCGTTCGTATATATAAATAGTATCCTTGTAAGTAAGAAGATAATTATAAGTGTACTCATATACGAAGATATGAAAGAGTTCTTCGTATCTTTGTATCTTCCTAATATTCTTATAGAAATTTAATAGGATTTATTAAGAAAGAATCTCGTACGTTTCTTGTAGAAAAGTGACCCTAGTCAAATTGCTCCGTTCTGAATTATGGTGTAGTTTTTATAATTCTGTGCGTGCAAATGCTGTTTATTTATGGGTTAGATTAAGTCGGTGTTCTTACGAGTGAGTATTTATGAAACATCCTGTATGTACACTCGCGCACGCACGAACGCACACACACGCGCGCGTACACACACATGTAAACGTGTTACCCGTAACAGTACAATCTTAGCGTTAGCCAAGGTCTGAGAAAGGACACATCGGGTGTCAAATTTATTTCGAGTGTTTGTTTTACGTGAGTTCCCTCGTTTCTCATATCGGGATGCTTGTTTAATATGAATCTCCTTACCTCTCTCACATTCGTTCGATCAAATTAGTATATCACACATCACGTAACGCTTAAATAACATTCATGAATATACCCGCATTCATAAAATCACACGCAGCAACACACAGGTCCTTTGCAGCGATTAAATATTGCCAATATTTTAGTAATTATTTGGCCCCGATACTTGAATTATGAATTATTATTATTGCAAAATATTATTCGTAGCAAATTAGACAAAAAGAAATAAGACGAAGTACATTAATGCATGATGTCTTCGTCTAAATAATAAAAATGCCCATTTTTACATTTACAAAAATTTTGCTCCAGCTCAATGATCGCACAGCAACTGGTGAAAGTACTGAGTCACGATGATATATTAATAGATTGTATTATAATCTTATAAAACATTTTCAGAAAGCATAATAATGGCATATGGTAAAAACAACGCAACAACAATTAATTTGCAATTGATATCTTATATATCCATATTATTGATATAATGAATAACAACAAACCAGTGTTAATTAAACCAGGTATAAAATAATTTTGTGTCAGCCATAGCATTTAATATTTTAATTAAATGTACACATTATGTACATTATACATTATTAACATATATAGTGAATTAGATCAAACGGTAAGTTAGATTAAAAAGAGAAGAAATATAGTACGGAACAATTCATAATAATCACGAGAAGAATTACTTATTCTCACCCTTTGTTATTCAATCAAAAATTTATATTCTTTTCGCAAATATTTGCAAGCAATCTAAAGAAACATTGGAATTATTCGTATCGTGCTAAAATTGTTGCACCAATTTATGTTTTATGCCAAAATTGTTACAATGTTCGTGCGAGATGCTTGAGACATCGTTACCGTTCCCTCGAACAATCGACAATCATGACACACGAATATTCAAATATGAGGTGCGAGAGTACAAATGAAAATTTCTAGTAATTCCTATCTCTAATCTAATGGACGCATTTACAGCGCTCGGTGTACACGAACGACATGCAACCAATGAAAACACACCTACGTATAACGAGAGTCATTCAGTTGCGCGCAATTATCGTATTACTGTAACCGTTAGACTACGTTTCCTTATTTACAAGATTTACAAGATTTCCAACTTTAACTACAAATTGAATACTTCACGGAACACTTTTATGGAATTTACCCCGACATGTTCTGCGATTTCAAATATTGCGTTACCTCGTAAAACGTTTAATGCGTACCAGAGTTAGCAGCGGCGGTTTAAACGTACGAGAAAATTTCGAGCTTTACAAACAATTATACGGGGAAATATAGCGAACAAATATCCGATGGAAGCTATTGTATGCTTTGAAACGGATTCTCGCGTTCCGCGGACCGCGGATCGAATTATTTCTCAGGCGCAATACTGATTAATTGTTTCGTTCTCTCGACGAAATTGGGAACGCGAGTTACAAGCCTCGGGTACTTCCTGGCGCGAGATTAAAGTGGTTCATTTATTAAGAAATGCATCGAAGGAACGAGAGGAGGGGTATAGCGGCGGAGGAAATGAAAGGCGAATCGGAAGAAGGAAAAGATTCCAGCGTTTATACCTTTCGTCCGCCTCGAGAGAGTCCCAGGCGTGCTCTCGCTCTTAATCCGTTTGGAAAATGTGCCGATCCGAGATTGTATAGAGTGTGAAGAATTATCTGCCGCGGTTCTCCCAGGTGAATCCCTGCGCGCTTCCCTTTCGGAGGAAATAATTTTAGAAAATGTGCCACCCGAAATAATTCATCCTGATCATCCAAGTTTGGAATCCAATGTGTCTCTGTTTACAAATTCCATTCGCCATCGCGAGAGGCCATTCAATAATCAGGACCTTGCTTCAGAGAAAATGTCAAATTATCATTATCATCTGGATGGTGTATCTGTTTGTTTTGATACAAGCATATTCTAGGCTTTCGGTATCATAGGAAATAGACATTAGAAGGTATAAACCCAAAGTATCGTCGTATTTAAACGCGACATAATATTTGAACACTTAAATATTTCATTTTCCTTTCCTAATTCTCAGAAGATTCTCTGAAAGAAACGAACAATGAAGTTATTGATACTTGCGAACTAATTAATAATGCTATTTAACAATGTTTCGGCTCTTTTCCTAACTATTGCACGTATATCGTCTGCTTACGTCATGTTTCGTTCACTGAAACTTTCCCATTCGCCGGATTAAACACGGAAATTTTTCGATGCGACTAACAATGCGGAAACAAATATACGCGTTTCTCGCTACGTTCGTCTCAGACCGCACAAGATTAAACGAAATGTGTCCCGGGTGAAATGTTAGCCGAGGATAATCGAAGCGCGAGTTACGAATATCCGCGTTCGTCTGTACACACGATGCAAATGCCCTTGCTAATTTTGCGCAATTCCATTTGCTATTCCGTAAACGTTCCCAAAGCTTAAAATACATTGCACTAACCCGCCACTTGTAACAAATTGCTTTTACAGTAGTTAGAAACATTATAATTGAATAATAATATAATAGAAATATTATACTTTATGCTTCATTTTCATGATTTCAAAATTAACTTTTCTGCTCTTTTGCCGCATCAGAATTCTTTACAGATAAACAAAATATCTTCTTTATTGTTTATTTCATTTATTTCTACAGCACTCGATCTTCACACAGTAAAAGGATACAAAACATTTACATAAATAGTGTTAAAATATAAATAATTAAGATATATTAAAAGTTAGGGAAAATACAAGATCTGTGTGACTGCTGTTACAATTCTCCCCTGGAGTTGTCACGTTTATAACTTTCGCAAAATATTTACTCATTTAATGTTATCGATGTACATTTAATATCACAGCGATACAAGATTGTGTGAGAATATTTTATAATTACTTGTGATACAATTTCTCTGGTTATACCGGAGGTACTACGAAGGAAGAAATATAAAAATCGTCTTTTAATTGAAAGTAAACTCGCGTACATATTAAGCATTATACTCGCACGTTAATCCGGGAACGAGAAACATTTTTGCCATATCGATGAGAAAATCGGTTTTGCTCACATGTGCGTATGAGTATTATATTAAGCACATGTTAATCAAAAATAATTATTGTTTGGAAATTAACACGATATGGATTATCAAAAGTAATATGCGATACTTCTTTTCCCTTTTTATTATTATTCCAATTTAATATAACCAGTGTATGCATACGTGTTTTATATATGTACGCATATATTTTCTGGATTATAAAAGGGCCAGTTCCGAACGAAGTAATCGAGATTACGGTGCACAAAGTGGAATGGTATTTTGCTGAATTTAATTTACACGCAATTTTTCACATTGTTCTGACACTTCATTGTTCTCGAGCTGCGTTACTGCGATGCTGAATATTAAAAATATCAGAAATACCACGAAAGTCCATCAATGCATAAATTTATAAATTGCATTGAGGCAGAGGGAGGCAGGGGGAGGGGCGCTGAAGCATAGGGAAGTAATAAAAGCTGTCAGCGGAAATTACTTTCCCTATTGAAGTTTTGAGACAAAAGACGTTCCAAGGTAACACGCGTAAGTTTATTCTGTCGTTTGCATCACTCCTCTCATTATACGTATTTCGACCTGTATATTCGTCATCGATTTTTCGACAAATAAAGGTATCTATCGGGGGAATGTCAAAACTATAAGATAAGGAATGTCGTCGCGCATAGAAAATGTTCTCGTTTCAGGACGAGGAGGGTTAGGCTGAAGCGACCAAGCGAAACTGATGATTCCATCGCATCAGATAAAAGATAAAAGATATCAGTAAAGCAGGATAATCGTTCGAACGCAACAGCCACACGTTAAACACGTTATTGCAACCGAAAGAGAGCTTACGTAAAGCCACGTTAGCGCGTCTAACTTTTAAATTATACAACTTGCACTGCACCTTCTCCGTAGCGTCACTACAGGTGCACTCATGCTCTCGATGCTCGTCTTTATTTGCTCCCGACGTGTTCACATATTCCCTCCTCTTGCCCAATACCCCTTTCCCTACTCTGTCCCGCTCCTTTCTCTCCGTCTCTCTTTCTCGATTTCTCTCTCCGTGTATGGCTCTACTACCAAAATCCTCTACTACTCGCAGATTACGTTCTGTATTCGAAAATCCTACGTGTTCATCCGAGTTGCTACGCCGCGCGAAGGGCCGCTAAGTCGCTTGCTTCGGATTTAGCGGAAATTCGAACTCGAGCAGCGAGAATGAAAGTGGAGTGGAGGAAAGACCAGCGGAGAATACAAACCGTTTGCAATGGATAGAATTTTTTTAGAGATGAAAAATTGAGTCACTTGAGAT